GCCCCTCCCGCTGAGCGCCCCTCCCGCTGAGCGCCCCTCCCGCTGAGCGCCCCTCCCGCTGAGCGCCCCTCCCGCTGAGCTCGCTTCTGCCCTGGTCGCCCGGGGCAGGGGGGCTTGGCACGGCTGTCTCAGATGGCCCCAGTGGGAGGGTCACGGCTAAGACACCCGGCCCATCTCATTGTTTCAGGCCGGGCTTCCTCTTCTGGCAGAGGCCAGCGGCGCGCTGAGCGGGAAGGGGCCGGGACGCTGCTGGAGCCCTCGGGATGTCTACCTCTGCTGCTCCTTCCCCTCTCCAGGAGCTCGCGTTTCCCGGGGTGTGTGAGCATTCTCAATAAAAAGGGAAAAGCACCATCCAAGTGAATTTTCCAGCGCCGAGAGGAAATGCTGTTTCCTGCATCGTACAAGCCTGGTGCCAATGAGGCTGCCGCAGGAGCCCATTGTCCGGCTAACAATGTGTGATGGGGAAGGGCGCCTGAGAAAACAGACCCGGGGCCACGGTGAGCGTTTGATCCTTCCCTGCAGGGCTAGCGTGTGTGTGTGTGTGTGTGTGTGTGTGTAGTGTGTAGTGTGAAATGATAGGTATCTGTGCAGGAGTGTGTGCATCAGGCAGTGTGTGGGAGTGTGTGTCTGTGTGGAAGAGTACGCATTAGCCTGTGTGTGAGAATATGTGTGATGTGTGTCTGTGTAAGCGTGTGCATGGGCCTCTGTGCGATGTCTCTCCAGGCATGTATGTGTGTGCATGATGAGCCTGTGTATAGTGTCTTGATAGGTATATGTGCATGCTTGTGAACGTGTGTGCATGTGTATGTCCGTATAAGTGCGCGAGCTTGTGTGTTTGTGTGTGTGTGTGTGTGTGACCTTGCGCGCGCAAGGGTCAAGGCTCAGGCTGGTCAAGGCACAATGCATCCCTTTTTGCAGGCTTCTGCTCCTCTGGTGGGCTCTCAAAGATGGGAACAGACTGGAAAAACAGCAAAGAAGAGCAGAGAAATGGAAAGAGAAAAAAGGAAAAACAACAGTCTCCGGGTCACTCCGTGTAGAGCCACTCAGCAAGTCCGCTGGCTGCCCGACGCTGTGAGGAACCCCGGCAGCCTGGGAGTCAGCATGGGACCGTACCCAGCCCAGACACAGGTGCTAGAGCGCCAGTGTCCCGTGCGTGCCCAGCGGGGTACCCGGTGCTGGCGCCCCGGAGGTGATGGAGCCGGGAGGCGACTGGGCGAGCGCACACCCGCACACCCGCACACTGAGCCCCCGCCCACCTGGACGCCCGAGGTCAGGGCCTCGGCCAGAGTGTCACCTCCCTGCCCTCGGCGCTCACGTAGTCGGCGTGTTCGGGACGTGAAGTGCCGACCCAGAGGCTGCTCCGGCCAGGGCATGGGCTGGGCGATAAACAATCACACAGGATACACAACACCCTGGACTGTCACAAGTCCCTCGCAGGAAAAGATAAATAACATCTGAGGAGCCGCGGGCGCAGCTTCCCCCAGCAGAACAAAAAACTTTGGAGAAGTAAACAACAGGGCCGGGAAGAGTTCACACACTAGCTCTGGAGGCTGAGAGAGGCCACCTCTTCCCCGGGGGCCGCTTACTCAGGGGCTCCTTCCAGCGCAAATGACACGCACGCACACGCACAAAGGCACGCACACGCATGCATGGTTCAAATCGAGCACTTTACAATGATTGGCAAAGCAGGGCATGGTGGCACAGACCTGTACTGCACTTCCCAGGCAGGAAGTTGCAGGCCAGCCTGGGCTACATACCTGAGCTACATGCCAATAAACAAGAGGTTGGCAGTTGTCACACTCTGGGTAGGAACCTTGCTTTCTGGGCTCTGCAAGAGTTGTCGGTGCAAGAGGCAAGGAGGAGAGGTGTGTTTTTCTGGACTGGAAGACTGAGGATTTCCTGAAAATACAACTTTTTCCTTAAGGTTTGCTCTTGGAGTCATAGTCAGTGACATGAAACCCACCCTGGTCACCTGTAAAGGAAATCACAGCTATCCAAACCCGAGAAACCCAATGAATGAATACAATAAAATGTTCAAGATACACACTCAAGGGCCCACTTGGTGACCTTAGTTACCTCTCACCTGGAGTGTGATTTTCCCAAAGCGTCCCTCGCCGCTCGCTTGTTCTCGGTGTCATTCAATTCAGTCATGTTTATCTCCTGGCAAATCATTCGCTGTGGTGGTTTAAATGAAACCGGTCACCTTCGACTCGTACATTCAAATGCTTGTTCTCCAGTTGGTGGGACTGTGTGGGAAGAATTAGGGAGGTGTGCCACTGGGGGTGGGCTTTGAGCTTTCAAACACCCTGGCTATCCCCTAAGTTAGCTCTTATATCTCCCGGGATGGAGGCTCTCAGCTACCGCCCCAGCGCCATGCCAGCCTGCCTGCGCCATGCTCCCCATCATGATGGTCATGGACTCTACCCCTCTGAAACTATAAGCCTCCAATAAACTTGATCATGGTATCTTAGCAGAGCAATAGAAAAGTAAATAAGACATTCATGTAATGTTTTGGGGGTACATAGAGGACGCTAAAGATGGGGGTGTGGGAGGTAGATGAGACAGCCAGTTTCTAAATATAATTCATGTGAGCCTAATATCTGTGCAGCATATGGATCTCAGACCCTACATTCAGAGTGAGCTGCAGACATAGTATATCTCCTTTTCTGGATTCTTCCTCATGCCTCTCGTGTGTGCCAAGTGGATACATCTGGGTTGGATGTGGGCACAAATAAGCAGGTAAGTGATTGGTTGGATGACAGGATCCATGTGTTCTGATTCCAACACTGATAGAATCCTATCGGAAATTTCAGTTTGTGGCACTGCCCTCCCCACCCTCTGTCCTGGTGATGTGCTTGCTCTCCTAGGCAAGCGGTTCACCTTTGGCCAAGTACATAACATACTTGGAACACAGTAGGCTCTAGATGTACACTTATTCACTGCTGAGCAGGGATACTGTGAGCTCATTAATCTGATTGGGAAGTGAGACAAGTTAAGATTGCACACGTAACTCATTATGATGCTACATACGTCACTGGAAGACCGCATCGGACCACTGGGTGAATCACTAATGAGGACATTTTTACCCCTTTGCGTCTTCCAGGGTTGATCACTCAAGGGCCGAGTGGGAAAGAATGCAGCAGCCAGCCACACAGATCACAACTCGCAGGGAATGTAGGGCAAGGCACCAGAGATATGGTCAAGAAATGAGTTTGGCCACAGCCTGTGTTAAAAGTGCAGGCTTTCATTCAGGATCCACTCTGTGTTGTCTAGACCAGCTCTGGGTTTCAGTTCAGAGTCCTCATATCAGGAAGGGTTAAGATAGATCACTTTTGGGCCTGTGAGATGACTCCATGCGTAAAGGCACTTACTGTAAAAGTCCAGCAATACGAGTGATCATTTCTTGGAATCCTTATGGTGGGAGGGGAGAATTGATTCCTGCAAATTGTTTTCACACACACACACACACACACACACACACACACACACACACACTGTGATATGCGTGTTCCTCCCACAACAAATAAATACATGTTAAAATGACATATCCCCTGAGAGGAGAGGAACCAGAGGAAAGAGAAACTCAATGTCACATTGCATAAATGGGCTTTCAATGTTGGAACCTGTTATGTTAAAACAGGCACGGACACTATGTAGGTTCTCTTGGGACCTGGGGGGTGGGGGTGGGGAGAGAGCCCAGTCGGTAGTAGAGTGATTGACTAACAGGCGATGGTTCAGTATGGGTCCCAGAGGTCCGCAGGTTTGCACACCCCCAAAACAAGCAGACAGAGAGACTTCAGCAAAGCTAACTGGCTCAGACTCAGCAGCACCAATGAATGTTGCTTAGGATCCGTGGGCCCATGATGGACCCACCGGAGGCGCCCCAAAGGAGAGCAGTAACTGTACCTAGCCACACAGGTACTGATAACTGTGTGTTTGGTTCCTATGGGCTCTCCCCTGAGGAGGCAGGGAGATCCATGAAGGTCCATTACAGAAGACCCTGGACACCCTTTACCAGGGACGTAGTAAGGAAGGATTCAAGCATTCCTTTGAGAGCCTTGTTTTGTTTTTCTCTGGGTAATAGCCTTGGCTGTCCTGGAACTCACAGAGATCCACCTGCCTCTGCTTCCTGAGTGCCGGAATTAAAGGTGTATGACAGCATGCCTGGCTTGCGAGCTCGACCTAAGGTCCCTCTTCCCTGTTAACAGTCTACTTCTGTTTTGCTGCGTGTTTACTTTGCATTCCTATAATTTTTTAAGGCCCAATGAGACTCTTAAGGTGCATTTCTCTTATTGTCTTACAGAGAAAAATGAATACCATGGAAATAAACAAAAATTAATTTTTCTGGTCCCCAGATTCGATGTCAAGATATTTCAATCTATGTAGGACTAGTTAATCTGGAAATTAGCTTAGTGGTAGAGCACTTGCCTAGCATCTCAGGGCCATGGGTTCCATTGCCTGAATTGTAAAAACAGCTGGTCTATTCTGCTTGTGGGAGGGTTAACATGACAGTGTAAACTAACAGAACTGGACACCTAAAAGGGCAATCTTACTCTATATAAACTGGAGCCACAGTGGCGCACACCTTCAATCCCAGCACTTAGGAAGCAGAGGCAGGTGGATCTTGGTGAATCTGAGGCCAGCCTGGGCTACAGAGTGAGTCCCAGGACAGCCAGAGCTACACAGTAAGATCCTGTCACAAAACAAAACAAAACAAAACAAAACAAAACAAAACAAAACAAAACTATACTTCAAGAAACCTGACTTTAAAACTAAATTCATCATCACTTTAAAAAAGATTATTATTTTTATTTTATGTGCATGGGTTTTGCCTGCGTGTGTGTCTGTGCACCATGTGTGTGCTGTGCTGTGCTCATGGAGGCTGGAAGAGGGCAGACATTGGATCCCCTGGAACTGGAGTCACACATGGTTGTGAGCTGCCATGTTGGGTGCTGGTAACCGAGCCTGGTCCTCTGCAAGAGCAGCCAGTGCTCTTAAATGTTGAGCCATCTCTCCAGCCCTTCTATCATACTTTTAATAGTTATCTTTTGATAATTTGCATAAAAGTGCTCTTCAGTAAATTCTGAGCGAGTGAATGCCTGAGTCTAAGTGGAGGTTCTACCTCTGAGCCAAGTCAAATCGCTCGGAAGTGAAATTGGAAGAAGCTGGTCTCCTCCTGAACTCTTGGAGGAGGCGTAGGAGGGCGTGGACAGGCCACAAGGAGCAGCATCCACAAGACAGGAGGCTTTCTGCGGAATTCTTACTCATTCGGGGAACTCCCAGCCACAGTCCTGAGAGTGGAAAGTGCAGACATTGTTGGAGGGTCTTCACAGTCACTCTGTGGTGCAATCACTCAGGATTGTACTGCTTGAGCGGCAACCTACGCCCGTCATCACACGTGTGTGTGCGCCTGTGTGTGTGTGTGTGTGGTGTGTGTATGTGAGCCCGTGTGTGTGTGTGTGTGTGTGTGTGTGTGTAGTGGGGAGCCCCCAGCCTCTCTGAATATGACTCACTAAAGGAGGGCTAATGAGTGAGATGCTGCTTAGCAGATAACTTCTGTAGAATCAAGGTCCAGGCTGGGAATTCTGTGGGCAGGCAGAAGAGTCTCAAAGTGAAAATACTCCCCCAAGGAACCCCACTTCCTTCTCAGTCCTAACCCAGCAATCGTCTTTTAAGATTCATTATACAGAACAAGGAATCATGGGCTACACCCTTCTGATTCAAATAACCCACTACCATGCATCCCTGGGAGACTGTGGCTGGTGTGAGATGGACAGGAAAATACACAAATTTATGTTTAGAGAGCAATTACTTCACTTTCATTTTGTCAAGTGACCCCTCCCATAAGACACCCCTTCCTCTTCCTCTTCTTCCTCCTCTTCCTCTTCTTTCTTCCCCTTTTATCTTAAAACCATAGTAGCCATTTTCAATAGTGTTAACTACATTCATACTGTTGAGCAATCTTCCTGTACCGTGAAACTGATGCTGTCCCGTGAAACTGATGCTGTCCCATGAAACTGAAACTGATGCAGTCCCGTGAAACTGATGCAGTCCCAGTAAGCACCAACTCCGAATTCCTCCCTCCTCTCCAGATCCTGCCATCTATGAGACGGACTCCCCTGGGCAGCTCACATGGGCAGAATTATCTAGGGTCTGTTTTGTTCCCTGTTTCCCTTGGCACAACGTGTTGCAAGATCAGCCACAGTGTGTGGATGAATCAGAAGCTGGGGGAGTACCCAATGACTGGTCCAGCCTGAGACCCATGCCACAAGAGGGAGCCTTACCGCGCCCCCCCCCCCCCAGTGCTGCCTGGAACTCCAGGAACCAGAGCTTGGACTGCCCAGAGACCTAGCGTAGAACCAAACAGGACTGGCAAAAAAAAAAAAAAAAGTCAATGTAATGATGCCCGTTAATATTCTGCTATATTCACTGATGGGTGCCTAGCCCAACTGTCACCAGAGAAGCTTCCATCCCGCAACCGATGGAAGCAGATGCAGAGACCCACAGCCAAACATCAGGTGGACCTCGGGGAATCCTGCAGAAGAGGGGGGGGGAGGATTGTGTAACCCTATCATCTATCACTGAGCACATGGGCTGCTTGGTTGTTGTGAATAAGTCGGTGTATTAACACGGTGCATAAATCTTTCTTTGAGCTCCTACTTGGGATTCTTTGGGCATATAGACCAGGGAATAAAATGTTATATCATAGAGTAATTCTGCTTTTAAGTATTTGGAGAATCTCCTTATTGGTTTGCCAAAGTGGCTACACCTTGTTTCACCCTCACCTACGGCACGCATGCGTGCTGGTCCCGACGCGTCTCACGGGGTCTGTCATTTTCTACTTCCTGTCTTCTGTTCCTTTTCACATCCTATTGGATGTGACGTGGCGTTCTGGTTTATTAGCCTGCATAGGAACGTGCTCCCAGAGTGACTCATGCACTATGGGCCCCAAGATTGGCCATTCTGAACAGGTATAATGGGACAGAGCTTTCCTTCACACATTTATGTGAGAATATTAATGATAAATTATGAATGCTTACTGCCCTTGGGAAGTTGATTCAAGCAACAGCCCAAGGGGGATATGTCCCTTTTCAGATAGTTTCCTGTTTCCATGACTTTGCCCCGCCCCCCTTCTCCTCCTTCGTTTGTGGGTATGGGGGCCCACAGACCCCTTAGATTTGTCTCATGCTCTGTCTGCCCCCCGAAGGTGAAAGGTCTTCTCCCTTTTTCTTGGCCCTCCCTTTTTCTTGGCCCATCCACAGCCAACTGTCATTATGCAGTTGACTCTGACAGGACTCCCAGATCGTGTATCTCAGCCTAGGCGACATCTAGATCTACGGGCTTTCCAGCCAGGTTCTAGATAGCCTACTCTACTTCAAGTTCAAACTTTACCTGGTCCTTTCCCCTTCCAAACTGGAATTCCAGGCTCCCACATATGTATCTGCCAAAGCCAGAAACCTGATGATCGGCCTGCCACGTAAGCATGATGTTCCTTTTCCACTTGGCCTTGACTCAGTCTTGACTGAGGGAGGCATGTTCAGAGAGGCTCACCGCTGATGCAGGCGCACACATACACACACACACACACACACACACACACACACACACACACACACACACACACACAAACCCTGTGTGTAGGACGGTGGGCGGACGATGGGGTGCGTGAGAGGGGAGGGGAGTTTTCAGCCCAGGAGACATTTGGCAGTGTCTAGATTCTGGAGTGGTGATGTGCATTGTTGCTAGCAACCAGTGGGCAGAAGCCAGAGACGTTAGACAGCTTATGGGGCATGGGTGATCTCTCCAATCCTGCCTCAAGATGGTCCTAGACCTTTGCCCTTCCCACCCAGGTTCCCCTCACTGGAGACTGAGGCGAACCTTGGCTGCACAGAGTTGTTTGTGAACTACAGTCTTGTATGCAGAAGCACCCCAATGTCTTCAGGGCAGCCACTCCTGCTTCTTACCACTGCCAGGAAATGTGTGACCCACCAACATGGCGGGGGTTGGGGGGGTGTATAAAAACCTGCAGTCCTGGGTTCACGAGGGTGACTATAAGCCATGCCTGAATGCGCGTATTCTCCCAAATGTCACATCACGTGAATGCCAGTGTGACTCCATTTGGAAGGATCCTTCGGGAAACAAATGGGTCTTGGGGGTGAAGCCAGCACGGAATTTAAAGCAACCCAGGGTTCAAAGAAACACCGGGGTTCCTCCAGGGCTGCAGAAAGCCCATCCCGAGACTGACCCCCTGCTTTCTCAGCTCTGTCGTGTGTTAGCCTGAGACCTCAGACAAGGTTCTTAGGTTCCCGCTCATCATCTTAACAATGGAGATAGGGACACCAGCTTCTTCTCAAGTTATCGTGAGCAGTGGCCAGCTTATCCAGGCAGAGCCAGTGTCCCGGAACAGGCAGGCCAAGGGCTGGACCACAAAGCCCAGTTCCCGACACCCAGTAAGTACTTGATAGCTCTTCATTGTTACAAGTGTTTGCTGAGCATTTTGCCCACTGTCCTCTAGGAATTGACGAATAAACAAGGAATACACAGAAAGGCTGTTTTACCAGACAGTTAAATAAAGATGTTTGTTTACTACTTAAGGAGACTGCCGTGGCGGGTGTTTACATAACCTGCCATTGTGCGCCTGTCAGACCTTCCCTCTGAGGGCTGTTTTTGGGGTGTTTGAGCCAAATCCTGGCAGAGGAGATGAAATCAATAGACACTGAAAGGGAATGTTCTCTGGGCAGAGAGAACAACTGACGGCCCCCAGGCAGACCCGAAGATCAAACAACCCCCCCACCTGCCCTCACCACACCCCCCCTTACCCCCACCACTCACCAGAGCATCCCAAAGAACAAAGGAGGCCAGTGGGCCCTGGGCTCGAGGATGGGATGGAGTTGAAGAGGAAGGTGAAAACCAGACCAGGCAAAGAAAGCCTCAAAGGGCAGACGTGTGGCTCTTATCTGTGATGTCATGGAAAGGATTCAGGTCGTCCATGACAACAAGCTGTTATCTCTTGTAGAAAAGATTGTCTGGCTCCAGAGTCCACAGGTAAACTTCTGGAACACAAAGGAAAATGACTAACGGTTTCAAGATCGTTATTCCAGATGTCATTCAAGGAAAGAAATGATATTTCCACGTAGATTTGAAATTGTTAAAAAGCTATTTGAATTTCCAGGAATGTGAAAGGGGCATGGGGAAGGAAGACAGCTGGTTTGTTTTAAAATGTGAATTTTACAAATGCTTATGGGATACGAGAGGCTCTCTCTCCCACCTTCCCCTCGTGTGTGTGTGTGTGTGTGTGTGTGTGTGTGTGTGCATTCCTGGCACAGCGCACGTGTGGAGGTCAGAGGATAACCTGCAGGAGTCCGGTTCTCTCTTTCAACTATGTGGACCCGGGGACAGAACCCAGGTTGTCAGGCTGGTCAAGGAAAGAGCAAACACCTCTACCTGCGGAGCCATCTCTCAGGCCCCTCTGCAAGATTTGAGTTCCTTTCTTATGTCATAGCACATGACAGACGTTAGCTGAGGTTCTTTTATTGAACTAGACAACTGCGGGAAAGCAGGCATTCACGACTTTTTGTTTGTTTATGTTGACGTCAAGATGATGAGTTTTATGCGGACACATCGGTAGATGCGTCATGGCACTTGCTCACACTCACCACACCCCAAGTAAGCCTTACTTCCCCCTCCCCATCCCTTTCTTCCCCTCCTCCCTAGATGTCTCCCCATCCTCCACCCAAGTATTCCATCTTCTGTTTTCATGCTGGCTTGTTTTAAATATAGATTCTAAGGATGGAGAGATGGCCCAGGGGCTGAGAATGTGCACTGTTTTCTAAGAGGACCGAGTGATCACAACATCCGGGGCTTGATAAGTTTCAAACTGTAAAATTCTGTTTGCTTAAGTTTCTTGTTTGTAAAAGAGAGCTACTATCTTATACAAATTCCCTATGCGTTATTTATGCAAATTTATGTAAATTTATGCAACACCCCCAAACTTTAAAGAGGAATATTTTCTACCAAACAGAATACTTTTTATACTTTTTAATCACAAATATTTTGTATACTTATTACAACTTTGCTATAAAGAACTTGCAAATTAAACAAAAAAAAGAAACCTACCAGCAAAATAAACCAGACCCCAAATCTGTACATCTCAGTGAAGTTCTATATGGTTAGTGAAGCCATTTGAAGCTGTGGCATGTCACACTGGGTTCTATGCTTCCACTATCAAAGACTTTTTTGTTGTTGCTGGTTTTTGTTTTTTGTTTTTCCCGAGACAAGGTTTCTCTGTGTAGCCCTGGCTGTCCTGAAACTCACCACGTAGACTCAGAGATCCTCCTGCCTCTGTCTCCTGGGTGTGGAGATTAAAGGCGTGCACCACCACTGCCTGGCTTACCCAACACATTTTTATGCACTTATCCACCGTCAAAAAATAACAACAAACTGAAAAACTCAGGACTGAGTTAAAACTAGAAAACTATCGGCCAGGTGTGGTGAGGCACACAGGAGACAGGAAGGCTGAGCAGTGAGTTCGAGGCGAGCCTGGTGTACATAGCAAGTTCCAGGACAGCCAGGGCTTATAGAGAGAAACTGTCTCAAACAAACAAAAATCTGGGAAAAGCTAAATTAGCTTTAGTTTCTTGTAACTCAATGTCCATCTCCTGCATCCAGTCCCTCCTTATCACTGACATTTATCCTTTCTCGTTTTCTTGTCTACACTATTGTACTGAACCCACATGCACATTTGTTCATGTACACACACCTATACATATATACTATAGGCATAAACTTGTTCACTGCCATATAATGATAAAAATTATTTGTATATTATTATCAAAACTTATTTGTAGATTATTTCTATATAGATTCTCCTCATCTCATGTCAGAGTTATGTTTAAATAAACTCATCGTAAATTAAAAATATTATCAGTCAAAAATGCATTTAATCTCTATCATCTGACAGACATTCTGACTCACCCCAGCCTACCTCAGACAAGCTCAGGACACTCTGTTAACCTTCCAGAGCAAAATCATCTAACCTAAGCTGAGTTTATAATATAGTCTTGACTTTTTCAAGTCATTTATCAGGTACTATCTTGAAAGTATCTCCACAAAGCCAATAATAGTTATAAACTCTCCAATCGGGGCATTTTTATTATTGTCCATGCATTCTTACCATTGGCAGTGTCAACCGTGAAATCCATTTCTGGGTACTCTTACTCTCCAGGTTTAAACAAGACCTGCATCATGACAGCACCAGTGGACAGACCGGCGTGGAGGGGCAATCTCCTGGTCCCGCCCAGCCCCTAGATGAAGGGCAGTAGACAATTAATGACTGTGGAGAGAAGGAGAAGTGGACCTTTCTGGGGATGCGTCCTCTAATTGATTATCCAGTACCAAAGGGACCAGCTCTGAAAACGTGTGTGTGTGTGTGTGTGTGTGTGTGTGTGTGTGTGTGTGTGTGTGTGTGTGTGATAGAACAGTGTGGTGGCCCAGGGAAGGGCTGGGATTAGAGACTGTGCTGTGAGGGAGATAAGGACGCAGTCCAGGGTGTGGTCTGCCTGTGGACAGCTGCTGTGGAGACTGGAGTGGGTTCAGGGGCTGAGTCACCCGTGAGGTGGATGGCCCACAATGCTGTGGGAGTTGATGTGGACGAGAGGGTAGGCCACAACCTTTAATATCCCGAAAGCTGGTCTACAAAGTGAGTCCTGAAAAACCAAAAAAGAAAATAAGAGAAGATGAAGTTGCTTTATTCTGAATAGCTCAAGAGCCACATGAGGGTAGTTTGGTGAGACACTGTATGGCCTAGGGATTTCTGGAAAGGATAGAGGTATTATCTCACCAAGGGGGTAATTACCCCCTCGTCTCCTTCACATTGCTTTAAGTGAATCAGCTTTCCTGAGTGGTGGTGTCCTGGCCATATGATTGGCAGGCCCAGTTAGACTCTTTTTAAAAATACTCTTTTATTACATAGCATAAATTTATTAATTTATTTTGCGTGAATACCTGTGTGTATGTGTGCTTGTGTATGTGTGTATACATACATGTGTATGTCTGTGTGAATGTGCATGTATGTGAACACATATGAGCATGGCATGGTGTGGCTGTGTAAGTCAGAGAACAATTTATGGGAGTCAGCTGACTCTGTCTCCACCATGTGGGTCTCAGGGATTGAACTCTGGCTGTTAGGCTTGGCAGCAAGCTCCTTGGATTGCTGAGCCATCCCACAGGCCCTGGATTAATTCTTGTGTTAGGAGCCAATGGTACATAATGCTTTCATCTTCAAACAGAGGAGAACTGCCATGTGTCTGCCTGTCTGCCCAGGGCCAGAAGCAGAGTCCATTCCTTTGACCAGGAGGAAATCGCTCTCTCTTAAAAGATCTAAACAGAACCGTGATATCAGTTGGCCTCCAGCAGGCAGCCTGGCCTCAGGAAGCTCTGCCATCATACTTAGAGAGAGCAGCAGGAGACAGGCATGAAGAGAAATGAGGTACAGAGAAAGCTGGCCGAAGAAGATGCATCATTTGAATGGGGGGCAGTTGGCTGCCTGTGACTGGCCAAGGTCAGCTTGCTGTGGTTGGCTGAGACTCAGTTATTTGTCACAGAAGCAAATTCCCAAGATAGGTTTTCAATGTGTGCATTGTTAGGGTGCATTACAGAGGCTCCATCAGGCCAGATTTCCTTTGATTGAACAAGTCCATGGGGTAGGGTTGTGCTCACAGGTGTGGTGGGAGCATTCTGGGATGAATCTTCTGGATGAGGTGGCCTGTGTGTGGTGAGAGGTGCAGAAGAAATGGTCTGTTAGTGGTCATAGTGACCACAGGGGCACAGGGCATTTGTTTGTTTCTGGCTCAGGTCCAGGGTGTGTGTGTGTGTGTGTGTGTGTGTGTGTGTGTGTGTGTGTGTGTGTGTGTAAGGAGAGGGGAGCGTTTCTTCTGAAGGAGGGTGGAGGTGGGGAGAGAGAGCGCTTTGCCAGCTGGAGAGTGGTGTCTCTATGGGTTCAGGAAGAAGCAGGGAGAGGGTGGAGCTGGGTCCTACTGAAAATGCACAGCGATGCCGGGAGCCATTTTGACTTTCCAGAGGAACCTGGACTTTTTTTTTTCCCAACAGTGGCTGAGAGAACAGATTGGAATTACGTAATCTTGTTTGGTCTGCCTCCAGCACCATCGAGGGGACGCCAGACTTGATTTCCCGGGAGATTTCACCTGGCTTAACCTCCAGGCAGACTGCAATTATTGCCGGCACCGAGTGGCATCCCCAGTCCAGCCCTTTATTCCTTCCCTTAGGACGGTCTGGGTTCGGCTCAGGTTTCTGGCAGCCAGCGCAAACTCCCGGCCCATGGTACCCAAGCCTTATGGGTCTCTCTCTGAAACCTGATTTTACATTTTATCTTCCTGTTTCTACCCTGGAGAACAGATTCCTCAACAGATCTTGTTCCTCTTTAGCCTGTTAGGTTCTCTGTCAACTCAAAACATCCCTTCCAAGGCTGTTCTGTCTTTTTTCTTTCTTTTTCTTGTGTGTGCAGGTGTGTGCGAGGTATGCTGGTGCGGAGGAGGGCATCGTGTGTGTGTGTGTGTGTGTGTGTGTGTGTGTGTGTGTGTGTGTGTGTGGTGCTATGTCACTCTCTTCACTCTCTGCCTCATTCCCTTGACATAGATCTCTCACTGAACCTAGAACACCTGCCCTTCTTCAGCAAGGCTGGCCAGCCCAGGAGCCCTAGAGATTCTCTTCTCTGTCTACTTCTCCCTCTGGCCTTTATGTGGGTTTTGGGGATCGGGTCTCACACAGTAAGCACTCTTACCGAGCTATCTCTTCAGCCCCCTCCCTTTTCCAACACTGGAGACTGAATCTAGGATCTCATGCATGATGGGCATTTCCTGTGCCTCTAAGCTGCACCCCAGACTATGAGAACATGGCCTCTGAACATGCAGCTCTCTCTCCTGAAACACA